TTTGGGACGCAATTGAACTTGAAGTACTTCTTTGCGAAACTTGCTGCGCGGTGATGCTGGCATCAAGTGTGTGTTGACCGAAGTTTGGCCCCAAGTCACGCGCTGAACTGGCGCGTTACCTTAGCAACCTTTTTCTTTTGCGGTCCGCGCGTCGATCTAGTAAAATTTTTATTATATCCGACGGTACTGTAATTACGCAACTTGTATGCAACTCTGTACTGGCTTTGAATATATCAACGTCGTTTACTTAGTGCACTGCTTTTCTAATTACGCAAATTTGTTTACAATATTGTACCAGCTCTGAATATTTCAACTTTGTATTAAATGTATTGCTTTCATGATAATTACGCAAACTCAAGTTAATTTTTACTATTGTTAGGGCACTGACCCGGGGTATTGGGTCTGTGAATATTTCAATATTACCGACTTGATAATGCGTTGCATTCGTAATAATTACGCAAACATAAACATTGGCGCATTTAAATCATTAAACATGATAGTCGGGTATCTACGGAAAGTCGAGAAAATATTTTAAATACTTGTGATTCACCAATGTTCCAATGGTGATTTTTTTATTCGAAATGAAGTGAACATGTAATATAAACCATACCATGCGTCAAGTTAAATTTTACTAATATATAATAAACTCTGGACAGCGCACTTCGATCGCAATATTCACGTACATTTCGACTGAACTCTAATAACCACGCGTTTGAGTTCACGCACTGATATTTAAATTCGAGCCACCCAGCTTGACGCAAATCAGTATAGTTACTTGTCATGTGTTCAAAAAATCTTTCAACTCTCACAAATACCATGAACGCGAAGAGCTAACTGGGGGTTAACTGAAAGAGAACGTCTTTTTTGGAGAAAAAACACGTCAGTACAAGATTATGTGTACAAGGTTAGCTTTATAGAACGTACATGATCGCTTAACTCTGTGTTTTTTAATAATCATGTCGCATGTGAAACGCAGGAGACATTTTAGCGATACAGACAAAGATTAAATATTGCTGATAACAACCAAGAGGCTCGAACCAGGAAGGCTTAGATATTTTAAACTTCGTAAATAACATTCTTCTCAAGCGTAGACTTTATTCGAGTGTAATAATACGCAACAATTCGTTTACAGCATTGGTTTTATTGAAGTTTTAATGCTTTTCGGCTTCACAGTGAATTATTTTAGCGTCATATTTGAAATAGCGCGCTCGATACAAGATGTCGGACGGGAAAATTGGGGTCTGTAAAAATGTTTGTTGGTTCAGTCAGGCAATGTGTGGACCAAAACATCGCCCACTATTTGAAACATCGCCCATGGGCGGGGTATCAGCCGAATCCGGTATGTAGTTATACACGCCATTCTTTTCAAAGTGTATTTTCTAAAAGTATTGAAACAAGAAATTTATTATGAAGCAAACACAATGTATAGTACTAGAATCTTCCCATTTATCTAGTCATTTTTTGAACCATTACTGGAAGAACTATTTTTGCTTGTCCAAGGTGGATCAGGACAAAAGTATTCAATAAAATTAATATTAATTTAAATGTTTTTGTATGAAACTGTATGTGATGGGGGCTCTGTACTTCAGACATATCCTGCTTCTTCATGGTGTCCCCACGACTGTAATTTTACATCGTATTTGTTTGACCACCTGATTTTTATCTATAATTTTTTTCCAGTGATTCAAATGCCCACATTCAGATTATATCAGTCCAACTTGTTTCTACATTTTGACAGAGGCTTATATACAAAGTAGAATTTGATATGTCAAAAAAACTTGTCAACAAGCTGTTTTCTGATGGAACCTCTGTTGGGTGTTCGGGCTGGAAAGCCAATCAGGGACATTCTTATTAAGTAGTTTCGCATTAATTCTAGAATTGTCGCAGAAGTAATGGAGGGCACATCTCCAGGCCAGGGAGGGTAGATGCATGGCATATAAAACAAGCCATGCATGACGACAGTCCCAATTAGTTATCAAATTTAAGATATACCGGTACTTTTTGTTTATGGAGCTATGGTTCAAAAGCTGATGTTTGATTATGGTGATTTTCACATTGCCTGTAACATCAAAGATGGAAGAGAAAGGTATATTTAGGGAAAACTTTCCGTCCGGCGTTGTCGTTAATAATTGTTATTTCAGATGTTTAATGCACACCTAAAACTGAATTTGCGACAGTATTGTAATATACCGGTAGGTTTCATTTAAAAACAAGCCATGCATAGCACAGTCCCCATTAGTGCTCAAACATAAACATGTCAGAGATATGGATCCAGAAGCTGATGCTCGATTATGGCTATTTGTTAACACTGAAATGATTGACATTCAGTCATCTTGTATCGTCAAACGAGTACCTGTCCATATTGTCCAAATGACCATACATCTGTATATAACATGTTGAATGAATATTAAAAATTTTAACATAATCAGTCAAATAATGAACCACATTCATTAAAACAAAATGGCCACCAGTCTGCCATTTTAAATCCGATCTGAAAAAAATTTATGTGCATCAAGGTCCCATAATGTCCAATGTATGCACCAAGTTTGAACAAAATCTATCCATAAATGCTTGAATTTTTTCAGCACAAAAATGGTCACCATTCAGCCATCTCGAATCAGATCATGAAACAAATTGACGTGCATATGTGTAATATACCGGTATGTGTAAAGTTTGAATGTAATCGGTCCAGGCTTGTCTAAGATATAGGTCCGGATGCACACACAGAGGTCAATCCATCCGGACTGCGTTTGAACAGGGACTAAATTTTCTCCCATAATACACAAGCGCCTACGATTTCAAGATGGAAGAGTCTGGATTAGACAGGGTGCACATTCTGTTGATTTTAATTTTAGACTACCACCAATATGATGGCATTACAGCATAAATATCCATAACTCTTAGTCTTATTTTATAATAAACATTTATTCTGTGTAACACACTGTCAATCAAACTACAAAAAGCAAGACAATGACTAAAGAAAACTATAGTACTAAGATTTAAAAAAAAAAAAAATGAATACATGATAGTTTATCAAACTGAAGTGCAACTCTATACACGTCATCAATAGCAACAATAAATTACACTTTTTATTTAATTCTAATAACCTGTCATTTGACAATATAGTTCCTGAAGTGTGGGAAAAATCATAAATTGTGCAATGTATTCGGGTAAAAAAAAAATCAACACAATTATGAATGAATAAGTTCGTAGCACTAGACACAGGATAGAAGCTATTGGCAAAATATCAAAGGTGCATAGAGTTAATTGGCGAGCAAGTTGTTGGTATCAGATGACAGTCCTGAATTTGTAGTAAACCATTAATAAAGAAAAAACATTCAAGTGTAACATTTACTGTATAGAACTTTAAGAGAAATAAGTACTGTGAAAACAAGAACACATTAAATATGAATTAACTAAGACATAAAATAGATACAACAAATCAAACAATAAAAATCAGTTCAGTGGTTTCAGTAAACATAAAAATTCGTTGCAGAAGTCTGACTATTATGGCGTTCTTCCCAGGAAATTGCTTCAGTTGTGGTTAATTCGCATAACAATGTAACATCACCTGTAATATATTGTAATACGGTAGATTTACCCTTAAATTCTTGAGAGAGGACCACCATTTTGGTATTTTTGATGAACTGCTATTAAAGAATTTATGAAACATTTTTAACCATGGTGCAACTAATTTTGATATATATATACTTTGTTTACCATAATCAACATTTTGTTGTTTTATTTCCCCTTCATCTGAAGTCACTATGTACACCAAATCCAAATTATAAAATGTAATGTCTATAGCAATGCAACATACAAGGCATTAGACATTGCATTAGACAGCATACAGGTTGATAAATTTGGCACAATTACAGAACACCTCTTAAAGTCAACCCCTTCTGGTACAATTGTCAAATTCAGTTTATATGTCTGTTGTTTATACTAACATTACTACTTCGATTATCACTGAGCTGGCTATCCAACTGAATATTAAGGACCCCCCCCCCTCCCTCAATCAAGCCGACATAGGTCAGGTTATGATACCAGTAGACGTTAAAAATAATTGTTTTTATACATTATGATAGACATCCTCCTATCTGCTGTTGAAAGACATCAATTACATCTTCATCCTCCATCTCAAGCTAAAAACAATAGAGAAATATACACAGTAAGCAACGTAACATATGATATAGTTAAGTCATCACAGCAGATGCTAAATTAAATTGGCTGGCTGTTGGAAGTACTAAAGTCAAAACAAACCATTATGAATGTTCAAGATATTTTCAAAGGTAATGGATAGGAAGACAGCAGTTTATTTCAGCAGTGCATGCTACAACTTCATATCAGTTACCAAAGTAATTCCAAGACACACTAACACTTTGAAGACAAACAGAACACAAAGATTTTACAATCAACATGGCTCAACCTACAACAAATCAACATCTAGCTGCCCCAAGGTATTTTTAGGTTATGACTAATTGCATTTCTAGTTGTGTTTTATATATCAAATTAAATAGATTTCATTGAACCAAGCTACTACCAGTTCACTACAACAAATCACTGTCACATGCGTCTCTTGATGGACTAGAGTGGCAGAGGTACATGTCATATTTTATGAATTGTCAGATCAGCAGAAAGTTGGACATGGATGCATTGACTAACATTCTGGTTGTGTGAAACATTACTAGTGTAGATCAACTGACACAACTAGTGGATTCACACTTTACAAGTTTCAGTTTCAGTAGTAAAGTTTTATTTTTAAGGTTTTATCTCTGTGAAATAGTTGCTTACTTCAAACCAACTGGTTGGTCTTCTATTGAAAGACTCTACATGGGATTATTACATGGTGACCAAACACAAAGCAAGTAAAACTACTGCGATTTATTTGTTAATGGATGTGTCACGGAGAGAACCAAACATTAATTTTAGTAGTATAGTAAATATACATGCATGCAGGTTGGCTAATTTGTAATGGTTTATTGTGTGTGAAACCCACAAGTCAAAAATTCAGAGTTGGTCTACGATCAGTCAGAGTTGTTGCGGTCAATACATGTTTGTCAATATGACTGCCATACCGCAAGAGCGTACCTTGTCATTTAATAAATTCTCACCTTTGAAGGAGTATCTTCTTCATTTATGGGTTGACCATCAAATCGAAATCGAAACGCTGTCCTTTCAAGCCCCTGTGATGAAAAAGTAGTTGTAAATTGTTAACAGATTCAGGTACCTTAATATCATACCTTAATAAAACTGACTGGTTAGGTAACATCACTTAATTATTTTGAAAGTCCTCCTGAAATCAGAGATTTGGGAAAAAGTCTAGAATCATTGGTGCTAGTATGCTATTGCAGTCAGAAGCAAATCTGATTGGATGATTTAAAACGACAGTGTCAATAATCTGGACATAAAAATTTCAAATTAGCATATTCAAACTTCAACTTGGCAAACTGCACTTTTAGATTTTCCATGAAAATTTATTGTTATCTATTTGATGTGTACGCTTCACTTAGAAAAAAAAACATCCTGCTCAAATGAAAAGACCTGCACTGGGAACAGCATTAATTTTACATCAACCACAACTTTATTATATTTTAGCAACTTGAACATCAATATTGCTGACTAATATTTTTACAAACACATAAACCACTTAACACATTGCCAGCTGATACCAATGTTCTTATAATGAATGTGTGGCATATCTTACCTGCCTGTCACAATATGCATTCATTAATTTCTTCAATGGTGTATGTCTTTTAATCTTAAACTGTACAACTGTTCCATCCTGCCAAAAAATAAACATTTACTAGATAAATAAGTCATCTCATCAAAGTTTAAAGCCTGCTGTAATGGGTCTACAGTAAAAAGGATTTTGTGAAGGATGCTAGGAATTGTGTACTGGTTATCGTATTGCAATAAAA